ATGTGAGTCAAGGCAGGTGAGCAAATACTTTTGGCAATATAGTGTATCTGAGACTGGCCAACAAAAGAAAAAGATTAAGATGGGCAATAGAACACAGACATTGGAGAGAGGAAGACTGGAAAAAAGTGTTGTGGACGGATTAATCCAAGTTTGAGGTGTTAGGATCACAAAGGAGAACGTTTGTGAGACACAGAACAAATGAAAAGATGCTGGAAGAATGCCTGACACCATCTGTTAAGCATGTTGGAGGTAATGTGATGGTCTGGGGTTGCTTTGGTGCTGGTAAGGTGGGAGATTTGTACAGGGTAAAAGGGATTCTGAATGAGGAAGGCTATCACTCCATTTTGCAACGCCATGCCATACCCAGTGGACAGCGCTTGATTGGAGCCAATTTAATCCTACAACAGGACAATGACCCTAAACACACCTCCAAATTATTATTATTATTATTCAACTATTTAGAGCAGAAGCAGGCAGCTGGTATTCCATCGGTAATGGAGTGGCAGCGCAGTCACCAGATCTGAACCCCACTGACCTGTTGTGGGAGCAGCTTGACCGTATGGTAAGCAAGAAGTGCCCATCCAACCAATCCAACTTGTGGGAGCTGCTTCTGGAAGCGTGGGGTGCAATTTCTCCAGATTACCTCAACAAATTAACAGCTAGAATGCCAAAGGTCTGCAGTGCTGTAATTGCTGCAAATGGAGGATTCTTTGACGAAAGAAAAGTTTTATGTAAAAAAAATCTTATTTCAAATACAAATCATTATTTCTAACCTTGTTAACATCTTGACTCTATTTTCTATTCATTTCACAACGTATGGTGGTGAATAAGTGTGACTTTTCATGGAAAACACAACATTTTTTGGGCGACCCCAAACTTTTGAACGGTAGTGTATATCTCTAGATAATGCTTTGGTCCTAGAACAAAAACTTCAGTTTTATCTGAGTTTAAAATGACAGAATTGCAGGTCCTGCAGGTTTAACATCCTGAAGACATTTAAAGCTTAGCTAGCTGATGAGTGTCATCTGGCTTGATCGATAGATATAACTGAGTATCATCTGCATAACATTGAAAGTTGATAGAATGTTTCCTGATAATATTACCTAAAGGAAGCATAGATAACGTAAATAGGATTGCTCCGAGCACAGATCCTTGTGGAACTCCATAGCTAACTCTAGCATGCATGGAGGACTCATTGTTAACATGCACAAACTTAAACCGATCTGATAAATAGGTCCTAAACCAGATTAGAGCGGCTCATTTAATGCCAATGAAATGTTCCAGTCTCTGCAATAGGATCTGATGGTCAATGGTTTTAAAAGCAGCACTAAGATCTAGTAAAACCAATACGGAGTCCTTTGTCTGATGCCGTTAGGAAGTCATTAGAAATTTTCACCAGTTCTGTCTCTGTCATGATGGGTTCGGAGCTCTAGCCCACACGCAGAACACGACTCAGGAGACAGAGAATCAGGTGAAGGATGTTTATTTGCTGGGGAGACGGGTGAAGTGGTTCCGGGGAAAGAGGGGCTCCAGGGGCGGCCAGCGAGCGAGCCGATAGCCGGAACTGGCTTACTTGAGTTAGTCCGTGGTTGGCTGGCTGGCCGACGGGGGAAAAACTGAGTGGCTCAGGTCCAGGCGGTGCAAGCCGGAGCCGGGACCGAAGAGCTCCGGATCCGCTGGAGCTTCGGGTGGCACGGGAGGCAGCTTCGGGTGGCACGGGAGGCTCGGGCAGCTTGGGAAGGATCCAGGTCCTCTGGGTAAGGCACCTGGCGGCAGGGAGCAGGAAAGTAAGCACACTCGAAAAACAGCACACTGAGAACAGAGACTGGCTCAGGAGGCTCGGAGTTACCATTACTGGCTAACACTCAGGCGTCGAAGATCTGGCAGTCTGCTCCTTAAATCCTCTGCCAGGTGGTTCTTCTTAATTTGGGCCAGGTGTGCTGGGAGGTGTCAGGTGAGGTCGGGGAAGAGCAGTAGACTGCCCCTAGTGGCGGCATGGTGAGTGGGAGGTGCTGTGCAGCTCAGAGAAAACCCCGGATATGACAGTCTCTGTGCTATGATGAGCTCTAAATCCTGACTGAAAATATTCAAACAAGCTATTGCTATGTAGATAGTCACAGATCTGTTTGGCTCCTGCTTTCTCCTGGACCTTGGAGATAAATGGAAGGTTAGATATAGGTCTATAGTTGGCTAAAACATCTGGGTCCAGGTTAGGCTTTTTCAAAAGAGGTTTAATTACAGCTATTCTAAAGTACTGTGGCACATAGCTTGTTAATAAAGACAGATTGATCGCGTCTAGTAGAGAAATACTGACTAAGGGTAACACTTCTTTAAGCAGCCTAGTCGGGATGGGGTCCAAGAGGCAAGTTGATGGTTTGGATGAAGAAATGATTGTTGACAACTTTCAAAACCTGTAACTGGTTTTACAGTTGTTTCTACGGTTTCTGAACTTAAAGATAAGTCTGTGCCAGTTGAGGGCAAGTCTTGGTGGATTTTGTTTCTAATTGCAAGAATTTTATCGTTAAAGAAGCTCATGAAGTCATGGCTAGTGAGAGCTATGGGAGTACTTGACTCAATAGAGCTGTGGCTTTCTGTCAGTCTAGCTACAGTACTGAAATGAAACCTGGGATTGTTCCTATTTCCCTCTACTAAAGACGAGTAGTATGCTGCGTTGGCATCACAGAGGGCCTTTCTATAGGTTTTAAGATTTTATCTTGCCAAGATGAACGAGAATTTTCCAGATTGGTGGAATGCCAGTTTCCGAGATATATGCTTTAATTTGCAGGTTTCAGTAGTATACCATGGAGCGAACCGTCTTTGTTTAACTATTTTCTTTTTTAGGGGGGGCTACAGCGTCGATTGCT